CTCTGGGCCTGCAAGGCCTGCAAGAGGAAGACCACCAACGCCGACCGCCGGAAGGCGGCCACCATGAGGGAGCGGCGGCGGCTCAGCAAGGTCAACGAGGCCTTTGAGACCCTCAAGCGCTGCACCTCCACCAACCCCAACCAGCGCCTGCCCAAGGTGGAGATCCTGCGCAACGCCATTCGCTACATCGAGAGCCTGCAGGCGCTGCTGCGCGAGCAGGAGGACACTTACTACCCGGTGCTGGAGCACTACAGCGGGGAATCGGATGCCTCCAGCCCCCGCTCCAACTGCTCCGACGGCATGGTGAGTGCCCCAGGGAGGACACCCTACCGCCGCGACGCCCCAGACGCTGTGGGTCCAGCGCAGGGCGAGTCGCCTCCTCCTGCCTTTCCTGTAGCAGCTGCCTCCGTATCTCCCCAGGCAGAAGACAAAGTCCTTTCTCGTGCCTTGAGCCAGGGGAGGTGGGGTGCCTGCATGCCAGGATCTCTGGGAAAGAAGAAGAAAAAAATCTCTTAGACACTTGTTTTCCCTGGGATGAGAAGTTAGGCAGGTGCCGCTGTGTCCCAGGGGAGCCAGGGGAGAGCGGCTGGGGGAGCACTTTGGGAAGCTGCCGGGGATGGGTAGCTGGGGGCATGGTGAGGTCCGAGCCCTGTGGATGCCACCACAGCTGTGGGGCAGCTGTTCCGATCTTCTGCTGCATCGTTACCTTTGAACCCTCTAAGGGCAGCAGAGAGGAAGGTCCCCCTCGGTCATGGTGGTTACAGGGGAACTGATGAGTCTGGGGTTTGTTTTCTGCCGTTCATCATGGTAACGGGAGGAGGGCCTAAGCAACAGGAGTTATTTTTCTTGACCCCTATGAAAAAGGTTCTCATCTCCTTTTGTCCCCTTCGTAGACATTTACCAGCAATAGGAAGGAGACCCCAGGATTTCATCCCTGCTTGTATGTTATGGGGAGGGGAGAAGAAGGTTGGGTGCCCGAGGGGGTGTCTCGTCACCGCATCTTTTCACCAGGACTATAGGCTCGCACCCTGGGCTGGCAGGACATGGTGACAGGAGTGTGGGACAGCAGTCTGGGATGGGGTCTTGGCAGCACTTTAAGACCTGAGATTTTTTTCTCTGCACTGGTGGGGATAACCATTACTGAGTTGAATATCTGCGATTATGAGGTAGTGGGCAGATTGGAGAGATGATTTACACAAATGATCCCTCCTGGAAAAACAGCCTTTTGTCAGAGTAGTTTCACTGTGGATTGGAAACAAATATACTGATCGGTGTTTTTGATTTTTTTTCTGTTCAAAATATAAATGGCAAGGGAAACTAAAGGAAATAAAAAGGGACAAAGGTAGACTAGAGGTTTTTTAAGAGGAACTCCTATTTGGAAAAACCTTCAAAACTTAAATCATAAAAAGACTCATTCCTCTCTTGGTCTCTCTGTTGTAAATTGAAGATACGTGTAGGGCAGTATCTGATCAGAATGCTGGAAAACCTCACCTCATTTGTAAAGCTACAACAATGGTCATTTTCGTTTGAAACAACTGTGCCACATCCAATATTGTAGGGTGAACCGCCTTCCAGCAAAGTTAAGTTCTGCGTCACGCAAAGAAACTACAGTCTGATGGCAGTTCGGCCAGGGCTGGAATGGTGGCACAGACTAGGGACTGAAATACAACGTTGGGTGGTTGCTGGGGTTTCAGTAAATGCTGTCCCCAACCAGTGCCCTCACTCAGGTTGCTCTCCTTTCCAGATGGAGTACAGCGGGCCTCCGTGCAGCTCTCGCAGGAGAAACAGCTACGACAGCAGCTACTACACGGAGTCACCCAATGGTGAGTACGTGCCGTAACGGCTGTGTGAAGCATGGAGGCAGAGGCAGTTGATACTGCAAACTTCCCCGTGCCTTCTCCGGCCCCAGTTTAGCTGAGCTGAAAGAGGAACCTGCCTTTCCAGCCAGCGAGCTGCTGATGCTCCTAGAAGCATTGGGTTTCCTCTAGAGGTATTTGCAATACAGGGATATGTTATAGCTACATGTCCTGTTTTGCAAATATATTTTTATCCAGATCTCATGTTCCTCTCTTCAACTAATTTTCAGTGTCTAACCATGTTTTGCATGAAGACTCTTCTAACTCTGTCCCTGATACAAACCGGAGAACCTGTCCATTGATTTCCAGTCTTCCCTTCCCTTTCTGCGGGCTCAAGTGGAGCCCTGGAGCCACCCTGCCCCACAAGCAGCACACTTTGGTTGGGTCTCTCTTCCATTAAGCAAATCACAATCTCTGTTTTCTGAAAACTGGCATCCTTCACCAATATTAATTTCCTCTGGATCTTTATGTGCTCACAGATGCATTCCGTCAGCCACTCACTGGCGTTTTATAGAAGCATTACATCCTGCTGGTGTTAAGTACCCCGTGGATAAACTGATCACCATTTCTGTCTGTTTTTAGATCCGAAGCATGGGAAGAGTTCTGTTGTGTCCAGCCTCGACTGCCTCTCAAGCATTGTGGAGAGGATTTCCACAGATAACTCCACATGTCCTATACTGCCGCCAGTGGAAACTGTTGCTGAAGGGAGTCCCTGTTCCCCCCAAGAAGGAGCGAGTCTGAATGATAGTGGAGCCCAAATTCCTTCCCCCACCAACTGCACCCCACTTTCCCAGGATAACAGCAGTGGCAGCAGCAGCAACCCTATCTACCAAGTGCTATAAGGGACTGCACTGAAAACAAACTGCTCCCTTCACGCTGAGATCTGCCTTCTCGGACTGAAAAGACTTCTGAAGACTTGTTCCAGTTTTAAAATACCGCTCAAAATTCCTTCGAATATATAACTTCTCAAACCTGTATTACTTCAAAATACACCTAGTTATTTATTGGTTGTTAAACTGAAGTTATTTAATATGTCTAGAGTTAAAATTGTGTACCGTGAAATGGCCAATGTTTAATCTGGGCTTTGGGGAATAGGAACCTGGCTCGGGGAATGCAGAGGGGAATAGAAATCTACAACAGTAGTGGCATGACAGATCCTTCCTATTACTCCCGTTCTGGCCAAAATAAGGTTGTGGACCATTTTTTATAAAACTTTTTTGTATAATTGTAAATAAGAGTTGCTTTGCAAAAAAAAAAAAAAAAAGAAAAGAAAAAAGTGAAAAGAAGAGGAAATGAAAGGGAAAAAGAAAAGAAACAAAAAGCAAAGACAAAAAACAAAACAAAAAGGGGAAAACATTTTAAAAATATTTAATATTGCTTGGTTTGTTGTGCCAAACTTTTAACTTTATATATTTATACGATGTGGTTGCCAAGAATGTTTTCAACAGTATTCTAAATAAAGACCCTTATTTATAAAATCTGTGGTGTTATCTTGACTTTCATTAGGGCTTCTAGAATTACTGGTGCATTTCGGAGTGGTATTAAGATCCCTGCCTTGGCAGGAAGAAGATGCAGGCTCTGATTCAGCAAAGAAATCAAGAGCATGTTTCAGTTGCACTAATTTCAACGACTTCGCATAAATACGTTGCTGGAAAGGGCTCTACTTTCTTCACTTTGTGTCTTGGTGATTTCTAACCAAGGCTTGTATGTCAGAGCTCATTAGTGAAGAGATCTGTAAGGTAAATAAGCATGTTTCTCTTCTTCCCCCCAAAGTTTACAACTATGTTATAGGACTTGGCCTTACAGAGATGTGTTAGAACTTGGAATCTCACAACAATTTCAACTCCCAAATTCCAGTGCAGCTACCGAAAAGTCATACAACAGTATCTCACAAGACCAGGTACTACATTCTCGGACAGGTATTTTTCATTAATGTTCTAATTTTCAAGTGTTTGTCCCACGTTCATGTATTCTCAGGTGTTAGGAAATAATTGCAAAGGATTTTTTTTCTCATAAAGTCCAAGGTATAGATCACAGTTTTCCTCAAGTTCAGGTTGGAATTTAGGCCAAAGACAGGCAGTTTTAATTTGGACTTGAACTTTATGCATCCTGGCAGCACCACTCCAGGGATTTACTTCTTGTTTAGAGCCTCTCTAAAAATAACAAGTGGGCTGTGTTTCATTCAGTATACACGTGTACCCTTGCCCTGAAACTGAAACACGTTAAGCCCCGAGCAAGTTGTCATTGGTAAGTACCATCAGGGCATTTCTGTACATTTGGACAAGAATAACCAGCAGCTGCAATGTGAAACAACCCATTTCTTGTCACATCCCTGTGATTTATGGCTGTTATTTGAAAATCACTGTTAAAAAAAGCCCAAAAAACCCACCCCAGAAGCTAACCCAGATATCATCATCAGCTCTAAATATTCTGATGACAGATCACTGTATTCTCTCTTAGGTGACTATTAAAGAGAGAATTTGTGCAGCTCTTACCTCTTAAGCAGGAAAAAGAAGGCAGGAACAGCTAATTCCATGGGAATGTCTCCCAGTCCTTTAGTTGTGAGGGCCTTGATCAATGCTCCATGGAGAGGAGGGGAATGAGCGGCCTTGTGTCAAGCAGAGCAACGCATTTGCTTCTCCTTCCTCCTGGGGCAGAGGCATGCTCCAAGCTTGCTGTCTTAGCCCAAGCCAGAGGGGCAGGGAAGGTAGCAGCCACGGGGATTCCTTCCTCATCTGTGTACTTCTGGCCATGGCGGATGATCAATCCCAGGCTCCCATGGATCGGAAGGACTCCAAGGCAGGACTGACCTCTCAACACTCATCGAAATCCAAACTTGTAAAGGTCTCCCATTGATTCACTGTGGGCAGAAAACAGTGCCCAAAGGGCTGAGCTTATTCCTTTCATTTTTCCATTAAAAATAAAAATTGCATGAGCTTGAGGCTGTGCTGTTTCACAGGATCATGAACCAGGAGGGTCTCTGCTGGGCTCAGAAAAACACGCCAGGTTAGCCTTCAGCCAGTATCACTGACTTACCAAAACTAGAGACAGGTAGAGCCTCACAAATAAACACCTCACACATCAACCCTAAAACCTTCACTGCCTCCAGCAAACGCTCCATCAGGCCCATAGTGCAAAATATCAAAAGATGCTTTTGTGAAAGACTACAGACCTTGCCATCCCCATCCTCTAAGGCTGGTAGAAGTATCAATTCTACTGATGTGTTAATGGCAAGCCAGCAATGTTTTTGCCCGCTCAGGGACTAGAGACCCCATACGTACTGGCAGCACAAAGTCCGTGCCTGCCTCACTGTGGCACCCCACTTCTGCAGGACACAATAGGGTGTACCTGGCTGCAAAGGTGGCACGGCGGAGTGGACGGTGGGACGCTTGTGGTCAACAATGTACATGCAGTTCCATGTGAAGTCATGTATATTGCATTTCACTGATTTATTTTAGCAACCCAAGTTTCCACATACTGATGTTAATGTTACAACAGAGAACAAGCATTTAGCACATCCCAAAATAGATGGATGCATGAAGAAGAAGAAGAAAAATATTCACAGATTTCCTATGCAGAGCCCATCTCTTTCTCATTGATGTCAGCGAGAAAAGTCCATTGGACTGAGGCCAAAGGGTGTCAGCACTGATAAATGCACGTTTAGGTTACAGCTATATTTATTTTTGAACTTAAATAAAGAAAATGCATTCCCTCTGCAACCTCTTCTTGCCTATTTGTAAGGTAACGTATTTAAAACAAGTGCCCAAAGTTACCCTACTCCCCTGAGCACGGAGAGGACAGCATGTTACTGACAGGAGTGTATCCCAGTCTGCGTGCCAGTGTTTTGAAGCTGGAAATACTTGGATTCAGTGCCTTAGTTTAGTTCTGACAGTGGCAGGGAACATAAGGAGAGCCGAGGAACAGACACAAAGCTGATCCAACATTTACAAACTTTGGTTCATAAATTGGGCCCCTGAAGGCGTATTTAGGCATTTAGGGCCGATCCTACAGGACAAACTGCAGTCTAGCTGGGTCGACAGAAGCACTCCAGCATGGGCTACAAACACACCAACAGCCTGAAATCATGGGTTCATAGCACACAGGATCCAGTTCAATAGTCTGCAGGACAGGGCACCTAAAGAAACACCCTCTGACCTAAAAAAATCTGACTCCCGCAGATTGCGCTGATGTGCAGAGCCTGGGGGAACCAGGAGGGCTACAAGGCAGACCGTTCCTTTCCCGAGCTGATGGCGCAGAGCCTGCCTGAACGTGGGCTAAAGGCTCTAGGGTTGTCCATGCTTCCTATGGAAAGTCATACAGCCACAAACAATCAAAGGGAAGTGGTTTTGAACATAAAGTGGGTATCTGGTTTGATTTGTAACCTAAGGAAGCCCTGCTGGGGCTGCACGGCCAAACCAGTATCACCCGTTTCTCTCATTCAATCTATTGCTATAGAAAACGTGAAAAGAAATAAAAGTATACTTCACAGATTAGCTAAGTGCTTTGATTTTAAATTTTAACAGATCATTGCAAATAGGAGAATGAAGAGGATCCTTTTTTCTACTTTCAATATGTCACAACAAAAAAGTGCAACAAACTTGCTGGTTTTTTTACAAATAGCAACGTTACACACCATTTCTCACATTATCATTGAAGCTGCTACAGAAACTTTTCACCTACTGAAAATTCAGTTTTAGGTAAAAGAAATATACGAACTATTCCTGGTATACTTTTTCATTATAAAATATTTTATCACCTGTATCCAACAATGTTAAAGAACTATTAAGTTGGCAAATGCTTTGCACCAGATGCTGCTCTTTTAACATTACTTGTCATTTTAAACACAATACAAAGACCTTACGAAACCTCACGGAATGTGGAAGGAAAAACAGTTTTAATTTTACAGCTTGTACTTTGCAGAAATATTTAAAGGGTCAAATTGTGCAAAGGGCAAAACCTGACCATTTTACTCATAACAATGGTATTATCATGTCCAGAAGGAACTACATCCAAAAGAGAACAGACAAGCAAATGTTTGTACCTCATACCTCCCAAATGCTAATGAGAAGAAATAAGCATTTCCCTTTTGTTTAATTTGTTTTTCTTTGAAACCAGTGGCAAAATCTCCAGCTCCAGTGGGAGTGAGGAATACCTGAGCACCTCATTGAGTACTATTTACTCAATAAATAGTTTTCAGCTTGCCCTCCCTCAGCTTTTCAAATCACTTGCTTTCCAGTAGATGTGTTGAACAGTCACAACTTTCTCTCCTTGATCTACGCCGCACACTCCCTCCCCAAAAGGTTTGCTGCACAACTGGTAATGTCATTAAGTGCAGACCAGTGGCTTTCCTTTCAATATCTGAGATTTCAGGGCTAATGAGGAAGAGAATGGTCCCTGGTGTAATACAGAAGGGCCTCCAGACAGCCCTTTCCCACCCAGGTCCCACCAGGAATCAGGAACATGTCTGCCATAAAGCTATATGGGCCAGTAGAAGGAGCCCAGAAGTTTCCTCATGGACCAAGAAATCCACCCTTTGCATACAGACACCTGAATAAAGACCTTAACGCTGTAAGTTTAATAGTGAAAACCGACTGATCCTGTAGGCACAGGGCAATAGAAAACCTCAGGGTTTTCCCGATAATACAGTCAGCAAGGCACTGAACTCACATTTTCCTTCAAATACATCAATAACTTATCTCCTACATGCATCTTAGCAACATCGTGTGCTATTTCTGCCAGACTCGATGAATAACCCCACATTCGTCAACAAGGAGGCAAATACTGTATATGACGTGAAGCTTTCTACTGTTTATAAAAAGTTACTAAGAACTCTGACAGACAATAACCTACTTAATCAGAAGATTGAGGGAGGGTTGTTGGTTTTTGCTTGGAGGTTCACTCAGAGGGCTGTGTCTTAGCACAGTCACTAGTGTTGCGAGTCCCTGGCTGTAAAAGGGGTCTACCAATCTCAAGGGACCAGGTTTGGAGAGGCTGGATAAAATCCTGGAACTGTGGAAACCCTCTTGAAACACAGCCCTCCCTAACTCACCTGGACCCTTTTTTTGGTCCAACAGCAACATCTGCTGGATAAGACACAAACTGCATTTCTTTCTGAAATGGTCTGGTAAATTCAATGTCTGTTTTCTCATCTTTCCC